TAAAGTAGATTTAGTTATTATTCCACTGATAAAAAGAAAGGCTTACCAACGTCGTGAGTCATGCAATATGGTTTAATTAATGGTAAAAAGGTACTTCTGTCACTTCTTTTCCACCGTTTATATTTTTATCCGTTTATCTGTCTAGCTTTTCCAACGTTGTCCGCCATTTCTAACGTTTGTTCGGTGTCCATTATCCGTTGTCCGTTGTCCGCGTTTTCTAATAAACCCAATAATGAATGAGTTGTCGGTTCGCAGACCCCTTTTGTTTTGCACGGCCAATTGCCCCCTGGCGATACCATAATACATTGCATAATGTGCAAATGCAATGTATTATGGGATCGCCAGGGGGCAATTGGCCGCGCAAAACAAAGGGGGCCTGCGGACCGGCAACTCATCCATTCAAATTAAAGTCATCAAAATATTCCGTAGATATCGAGATTTTTTTGGCGTGGCGTTGATAGTATAGATGTGTTTGTTGTAGATGCCAAAGATGGAATTTTTCGTCGAACGAATCACTGCATGGAATATCAAGCTTTTTGCCAACAAAATCTTGATATTTACCCATAACCGAACATGCCATTACCCTAGTATATATACATCAATACATGAACTTGTGGTTAGAGCTCGACAACTGGCCTCAGTAGCTCAGTTGGTTAGAACGCTGCACCGGAATCTGACTACGGCACGGATATAATTGGTACCCGTACCAAATCCGTACTCGGCCTTTGTAAATAGGTAGTCCGAGCGCTAGCACGGATAGAATTGGTACGGGTATCAAATTAAAATTGAGCATAGTGTATAAACGGGCCTTAAATTTGCATTTCTCGCAGCTGTTTCTGGTTTATAGACCCATTGCACATGACGTCACAGCGCCGGTGATGATGCATCTGGAGGACAAATTAGCAAGCCATGCATAATATAAATTTTGTAAACAAAGCAAATTTTGTAAAACTTTATACTAATTTTGTATTAAAATGGTTAATTTTTGCGCTGTATGTGGTTGTTATACCCGAACAGATATTGTTAGGGGCCGTTAGGGAGCATCTGGAAGACACTCTAAGGATCTGTGACGTCAGTGCAATGGGTCTATAGGTCTAATAAATGTATATAATTTCCACTCGATAATTTCCATCTACAAATAGTTGCGTTTTTTTCAACCGGCTCCTAAAAATTCCATCCACAAAAAATCCTTCTGCTAAAATTCATTTATCCCTTACAAAAATTGAAAGCTGCAAGAAAGCTAAATTTTGTTCATTCGTTCAATTAGAGTTTACATGAAGTAAATAGCCAAAAATCCCTCGTCATGTTCCGCTGATTCTAACGACTTTGAACACAGCAACCAATCAGAAACCGCATAGCATATAAGCTGACCAATGAGAGGCGGAGAAAACAGCACAACAGAATTTAAAATTTTTTGAAGTCGAAGCACAAGGAAGCGAATGGAATTTTGGAATTTCTTTGAATCATAACATTGTAGAAAACATTCTTGATCGAAAATGGTTAGCAAAGGAACGAATTTAGTCCCGGGCCGAAGTAAAGAACGGACTGGATCTGTGAGTGAAGCGGGGAAAAGCAGTAATGTAAAAGTCGTCGTTCGTGTTCGGCCTTTGAACGCAATGGAGTCTTCAGGAAATCACAGAAATGTAGTTCGGCCCATGGACGAAAGGGTCGTTGTTTTTGATCCTCGCGACGATTTTGATGCTGACAGTTTTATACCAAGTAAACGAATACGGCGACGAAGTAATATTTTAGACCGCCGTGTGAAAGATTTAAGGTTTATATTTGATCGTGTCTTTGATGAAACCGCGACAAACCAAGATATTTTTCATCATACTACAAAGACTATTATTGATGGAGTTCTCAACGGGTATAATTGTACTGTGTTTGCCTATGGTGCTACGGGCGCTGGGAAGACTCATACTATGTTAGGAAATGATAAGATGCCTGGAGTAATGTTTTTGACTGTGATGGATTTATTTAAGAGAATTGAAGAGATGAAACATGAGAAGACTTGTGAGGTTGCTGTCTCGTATCTTGAGGTATGCCTTGACTATTTGTTCAATAGAGTTTTGCAGCGCAGGCTGAATTTCAATTTAGGTAACCGAGTTGAACTAGTTTCATGATTACATGGCAAGTTTGAGCCTGGGCTGTGCTACTGAATGGCAGGCCCTAATTAAGCAGAAAATATGAACAGAGAATGAGGGCCTGCAAATTAAAGCGAGGCTATAGCCCAGGGTGCATTCCATGTAAACTCTACGCCGGAGATACGCCAACATGTACGATCCTTTACGCCAATTTTCAGTTTTGGGGACTTAAATCCATGTTTTGAAAATAGCCAATATGGTGTGTTTTTAATATGTACTGCATGTCAACATCATATTCGTGTAGTTATACTGTCAATTTACATG